GGCCTGCAGTTCTCCGTCATTTCAATTGTTAACCCATTCTTTATTCCCTTTGCTATTTTTTCGTTATCTGGGTTGTTTGAATCCAAATTAGGAAGTTCCGCCCGTGACGCCACCACTTAGGTGCATGCCCGCCATGTATGAGTCTTTTCACGCTTGCATAACTGATATCTAGGGCATCTCGAATGCCACAACTAGATTTAGATTATGGGTGAGCTTTTTAAGGAAAACTGCATCTACGTAGAGGAAGATGTCACCCAAGTAACTGCTTTTGTTAGGTTCATGTATAAGCTATCACTTCTGAAAGGTCCTTTGTTAACACATTTTTAAGAATCGGAGAAGAAAAGTCACTACTGAAGGCGAAGCGGCGAATGGATTTGGATCTGTGAAGGATGTCTTTATGTACGTTTTGAAGATTTCTTAGCATCCTATGTTGGGACACTGCAGATGGTCCAGTGAAGCTGCCACCTCCTACGTTCCAGCCTAGAAATATCTTACCATTAGTATTAGGCCTAAGAGAAGCAATACCTGTTCAGGCATTTTTTTTTCCGATGTGCTATCATACGATGAGTTTTGAGATCAACCGTTTTTCATAAACTTTTCCTCCCGTTTTTTGAGGGGAAATCTAATCCCAGGATCCAATTTGACCGCAAAGGTCGTTCCTCTACGCTAAAGATTAAAGAGTAAGAAGGATGAGCCACCTTTCAGTTGCTACACCATGATATTGCGAGGCTTCAAACAGGGCTAACTGCCCGAAGTGATTCCAAGTCCGCCACCAGAATTTTTTTTTCTTTGAATCCGATACCCACTGACTATTAATGACGCCACTTTTCCGGAAATTTTCTAAACGTGAGATTCTTGTTCGACCGAAGATGTCAAAACTCACATAGATATTTTTTGCTAACGACGAACAAGCTTCTTACTATTGTGGGAGCATGAGATCCCTGCAGAAAGGACCAAAGACAGCGGACTAGGATGGACAAAGAATTACAGTTGAAATATCCACTAAATATGAGAAATCTATTCTATCTCTCCCTTACAAAACGCAATAATTTTCGAGCTGTTTAGTACTTGTGAGCTGCTAAGTCGTTCCCATTAATATCCTATGTTATACCTAGCATAATTTTTCGCTGCGAGTCGTTCGTATTGACTGAATTTCAGAGAAAATTTCTCGGGGAACTTAGAACGTGACGGAGCTGCTCTAGCTGTTTATCACAAAGGAGCTCTGGTGGTGGACTTGTGGGGTGGAGTCGCCGATCGTGCAGCTGGTAGCCTTTGGAATCGCGATACACTGGCAAGTATCGTCTGTTGCACAAAGGTTAGCTTGCATTAAGTGAGCTTTGTAGACCACTGACACACACAACGTTTAAAAAAATGTTATTCCAGGGCGTTGCCTCGATCTGCATAGCGATGATGGTTGACCGAGGCGAGTGTAGTTATTCGGACAAGGTGATCAAGTTCTGGCCGGAGTTCGGGAGCAATAACAAGCAAGACATCACCATTGAAATGATTCTTACTCATAGGGTAAGCACCGTATATTCTTTAATATGCGTTTTTGATTTTCAAGAGTGAAGTAGCGTAAACTAGCATAAGCCATGGGAAGGATAGCAAAAGCCAAAATATTAATGACCATTTCTTGGAATTTGCAAGACACGCCAAACTTCATCGAACTCTCGTAGAAGTTAATAAGGTTATCGATGCTACCAGTTAGGTAAAAGAGAGATGCAGCTTGTTGCTTTAAGAACCTAATCCGAGCAGTTTAATAAAAAATCCGATAGCGATAAATATCGATAGAAGCTATTTTTGAACATCAAAATCGGCTGAGTCGTGCCTCAACCTACATCTTCTACTAATCGGATTATTCTACGATCTAAGAAAACATTCATATACGGATTAGCTTTGCTCAGAATCTTCAGATCCCTCTACGATCCTGGGCAGAGATCGCCTACGTAGCGTAAATTGAAATGGTCACCAGCTGTTCTTTTTTCCAGGCAGGGATGCCATATTTTGATGCTGAGTTCAATTTGAATGAAATAACCAAAGACAGTATGACCAAAATAATCGAAGCCGAGCTTCCTAAATATCCACCGGGCTCTAAAACACAATATCATGCAGTTACCTTTGGATGGCTTATAGATCAGGTGATATAGTTGAAAATCCTTTTAAAGCGCTGTTGTCAGGTAACTTTTTCAGATTTTCAGCCGCATTGACAAGAAACATCGAACAGTTGGAGAATTTTTTCGCGAAGAAGTTCATGGGAAGTACAGTACGTCTTCATGTCTTCATAAATTACAGCATATCTATTAACCACTTCCCTCGGAACCAGTTGTTCGCTGATTAAGTCTTCTTTGCTTTAAGGCGAGTGGCCCTCGCAGTTCATTTTAGTTTGTAAGCAAAGCAAAGCACAGTCCCAAGGCTATCACGATTTGAGTTGGGGTCGAATACCTGGGGCACACGGAATATCGCTCTACATCTGACTTTTGAAGTTCACGTCAATAAGACTACGAGCTTGTTGCAGACGTCGAAGTATACATAGGATGTTCAGAAGAACAAGAAAGTCGTTTAGCAAAATTTCCACAAGCGAAGAAAGGTTTGGTGTTGCGGTATGTTGATCTTTTTTTGCGACAATGGCACTAGCTCCTTTAAAAATGTTCTGAAGATTCGCTTTTCGTCCCAGTTCGACGTTTTCTGATCTTGATTCTGACAAAAGGAAGCACTTTTCCTGCTATCGGGAATTTAAATGTGACAAAAAGGTGTGAAATTCCGCTTCTACAGTGAAGACCAATAAGCGGCCATGTATACCGAGGCGTGCTGACACGACTTTTACAACTAAATCCACTCAATGTAGCTTAAACAGACAAAATACTTGGTTAAGATTACAATAAATTTTTTATTTCGCCAACAACGGGCTTAGCAATAATTTGTTGATCGTCTTCAGGGAATATATTCATGACAGAAAAATTTTCACGATCGGTGCACATCTCTCAAAGAGGCCAACAGTAGGTGTAAGCAGAATGCAGGCCAGTAATGAGGTTGGTAAATTCAATGTTGATACATTGCCAGTAATACTTTCAAATGAAAGTGGCTAGGGCGTTATGAGCAGATCCTGTGCAGTTACCGCAGTCATGGGCAAAAGGATTGCGACGAACTTTTGATGCTCATAAAGCCAGGGTCTTAATGGTGCCAAGTGGCCAGCCGCCATGAACGGCTGTCCCAGTTCCAATGAGAAGACAAACAAGTTACTCAGCGTTCGTCCGGGATCTTATATTCTACGGTCATTCTTATTATCTGTGATTAACATCCTAATGAACTAGCCGGTCGAGGAGTTGGTGAAAACGTAGGGGAGTTAAGCCTGGCAACTGACAGTGCAACCCGAATCTCGTGTGCTAGGATATCCAAGAGAGAGGAACTTGCCAAAGCACTCCACGGTTGCTCAACAAACTGAGTTAGTGTCAAGTCCAGAAAATCATTGGGATCGACTTCAACTCTCATTTTGACTTCTGTAGACTTAGCAGGAATAGAAAGCGGAGTCGCACGACTCATTTTTGGAAGCTTGGCTCAAAATTAAGCAGGCAGCTTGCTTTATTCTGAGTCTCTTGATCCTCCGATAAAATTTAGAATCACACGCTTTTTATATGCTTTCCTATCTATTCAGATGCTTGACTTTGAAAACTGATCGGTTTCGAAACTAGCGAACATTGATGCTGAAAGGGACCTCACCATACATAAAACATCTGGAAGGCATTTCTTCCCTCATGCAAGAAACAATGTCTCGAAGGGAGGCTCATAACCTTTCCATGTGGCATGAAGATGCCATAAGGGTGTCCTAACCGCTGGCGAATACTGGATATTAGCGGGAATAAGATGCGACATTGATATCGTTGCTTCAATACATGCGTTCCTGTTATATGCGTATGTGGTTCCTACATTGACCTGCGCTGGCTGCCCTTTGCACAAATTAATACCTTCGTCTGAACGAACGAGTCTGATACCAATTTTTGACCCCGGGGAGATGGCAGGTCCGAGTGGGTATCGATCCGCGACTAGATCCTCGGACCGTAGACCTTGGTGCTACTGGTCATCGTGAATCATGCAGGCACGCGAAGTGTACCCAGGATTAAACAAAGTTTGAAAAAGGGCTTTCACCCACCCGGTCAGTCCTGCAATAACTCATTAGCTGGTCCGATAAAGATGAGGATTTCACTCAGTTCGGTATATTCAAGAAGGTTGGAGCTATCTGACTGTGTTCAACTCGTCTTTGATCCAATGGTGTTATTTAGATTGTCGATTTGTTCAATAACCGTGATGTACGCACGATCGCACAAGCAGCACTGAGTGGAGTAGCGACAGCTCGTGGCTTAGCTCGAACATTTCAGTTGTTCATGGATGGCTCCCTAATATCAAATGATTTGCTTCAGGTGCTCCATTTCATTCTGTATCCTGAATACCTCAGATCCTCGTAGCGCTTTANCGCTTTATCGCTTTTGCTACTTAATCGACTGCTTTTCTCTTTTTACAGCAATGTCCGTCCCCTAAAAGCTTCAACATCTCTAAGGAAGTAAGACACTATTCCAGCGCAGTAAAATCCGTGGCTGCTCAAGGTTTAGGACGGACTAATGAGGGAGCTTTAGAGTCTGCAAAGGCTCATGAACAATTATTACACTGTTTTCAGTTTTTTTACCTTCGATTTAGTACATCAATCGTATCAGGCGGGCAATTATTCCATTTCGACGAAATTAGAAAGTCTATGCTGTCAAATTAACTGTCTCTTCTGTGATGTGTTGATGTTTCAGAGAATCAGCAAACCACAGTACTGCAACGAGTTCGATCACGCACTTGGTAAAGAAGAAAGCAAAGGCTATGGTTTCGTGTATACAAAGAGCTCCACGGTAACTTTAACCTTCATCCTTCAGTTGATCTCAGTGCGAAGGCCCGCTATGAGTTGCAGGGTTCGTGGCAAATCGGGCATCCGGCGGTCGGCGGTCAATGTGTCTATATGGATCCTGTCAATAATGTCGTCGTATGTTATTTGACGAACGGCGTGAAGTCCTGGGCTGGAGACTATCCGCTGTGCTTCAGTAATTTGCAGATGAAAATTTATGAAGCTATTGCAAACATTGGCTTGCAAAGTTCCGACGTATTTATTAATAGCCCTCCCGTAAACAAAACTCATGCCACGTGAATAATTTTTAAAAATGTAGTGAAGAGACAATATGGCATATTTATATTACGACGTAATTTAACAATAAGTAATATTCCGGAAAGGTTCTGCATTCCTGATCCGACAATAGTTACATTTCTTAAAAATAAATCTTAACCTGTATCTTGTCTTTCTCGATTTGAGAGCAATGTACAATTACGAATATTGAGTATGTTTCAATTAAACCACAAAATTATGTGATAAATCACATCCCATAAACTACTAGCTTCTAATCCTCTAAGATTATCTACAGCGAGAAAATCGGTATGAGAAGAGTGAACACTGGTGCGCGTATTGTAATAGTAATAAACATGTACTGTGATTCACTGAAGACTTGGACCCTGCGAAAGCTGAATGAGCATGCAGTCAGAACGCACTGTGAACAGGGCGATGCTCGGAATTGCTCTACTATACACACAGGTGCAGAGAGGATTCCGGAGATCTGAGAAAGCAAATCAGGGACGTCGTTGCTTACGCCAAGAATTCAAACATCAGATGAGCTGAGTACATTATGCGATAATGAGACTACCGGTAAACCAGGGCGGTTACTGACTGGATCTCTAGGGACGTCAAATAAACCCAGAGGCGGCCGCCTATGCGATGGTCAGACTTCGTTACGAAAGCTCTGAAGGTGAGAAACGCTGTGCCTTGTTTCCCTCGAGAGAGAATGATTCATTGGAGTACTCTAGCTGACGAAAGAGACTAACTAAGACGATTCTGGTGCGCATGTGAGTAAATTCGTTATCATTTTTACGACAGGTGTTACAGGTGATGTACTGTGATCGCGAAAGATGTGACCTTTGATTACTACTATCTACATATATATCATCCCATGATCCCACCTC